TATAGAGGGCGTAGATTTTTTGCAGACCATAATCAGTGATTTTGAGAACCCATCGGTTGTCAATAACACAGGTTTCTGAGTTCAAGCACCCGTGGACAGCGATAACGCTCTTGTGCAGATGTGACATACCCTGAAAAAGAGGTGAATATGTAAAATGAAAAGAAGCATTTATTGGTTTTTTTAAAGGTTTGCGTGTGAGGCTACACGACAGCTCTAATCTTTCGCATAATTAACACTCCTCAGTCTGGTTGGAGAAAAAAAATAAAATTAGGGTGTTGCCTTAAGCAATAAACAAATTTAATGCCGTGGCACTTAAATCCCTACAAAAATTTGGATTCACGGAGGGGAGGGGGAGGTGGGGGGGGGAAGGGGAACTATCAAAATTTTTTTTTCAAAATCTTTGACTCTTCTGGTTCAAATCACTCTTGAAATTGGCAAGTTTTGAGCCGACAATGGTAAGTATGAGTCACACTACTCCTCTTCTGTGGAGATTCAAGTCACCATTAGCCCTCATCAATGACAGAAATAGAGATTTTAAATGATCGCTGCAATGAATTCTGGAAACCAAGTGAGTGGTATTTTAGGCTGATGAAAAAAGTAAAACAAAGCAAAATGTGAAACTTTCAGAATGCTTCCAATAATGCTCTAATTGTTAAAAAAATGAGTTTAATGATGTACCAACTAGCTGGTCTTTGCCATGGCATAACTTACTAACTTACTTCAGAACAAACGTGATTTCATGACAATACACTTGATAGGTTGTGAAATCATGCCATAACGCTTATTGTTCTCATATATGACCCCTTCCGTGACTTCATCAAACACTTATAAGCGCATATTTAACAAGTTACAGCACACCTTAAATTCGATTATACTGCCTCACTTCCACGTTTCTCTTATGAGGTCAATTTATTTTGACAATTTATATATATATATATATATATATATATATATATATATATATATATATATATAGTATCAGTGCCGCTATATCAATAACTTTTTGATAATTTGATAAATTGGTTTTCTTTTGAATAATAACAATAAAAATATTTAATTTAATTTGTATGAGAAGGTTGAGTAAAAGCCAGTTGCGAACCCTTATCAAGTCGGTGATGAGCGAGAGCTTGAATTCCCAATCCAAGTTGATGGCTTCAGTCGCCAACACAGACTAAAATAATAAAAAGAGCGAATAAAGTGTCAGATGAGATTGTGTCGTGGAAAGGTGGGGGGGGGGGGGGGTCGATAGAATGCCAACCATGAGGCTTCCACGACTGCATTCTTCATATACCACACTGAAGGAGTCAGCATCCAGGTAACAGCCAATAAACAAGTTAAGATTCTCATGCCGAATGTCACGAAGCACCCGCAAATGTTCGATCGTCTTGGCTTTCAGTGTTACAGAAGGCAACTCGAGGGCTTTAATATGCAGATTTATACCCTATAACATCAAAGTGCAGAGTAGGTATGAAATCTACACATAGAGTTGTTAGTAGAAAGTGGCTTTCAACGCACGTTAAATACTGCTGTGAAGTTGGAGCGCGGCATGGTTTCGACTTCAGAGATTGAAGCCGTCTCTGTTACCACGTCGGTCTCGCTGTCACGTGATACGGTCGAGTCCACGCAACTTATGGTCGATCGGAATATCATATTTAGAGACACCTAAACTTGCAAAAAATCGACTTATTGCAATTAACTTAGACATTTCTCGTAAATCAGGGGATTTAATCAACTCAATAATTTTGGGTGCGCGACAGACTTACCTCCACGTGGGGCGCCCTGGACAACGTATACTCATACGGCAAAAAATGTCTATTAACGGGCGTTGACTTCTGATGTCAAACTACATTGACCCGATTGTTTGTTATATTCACTGTCTCTCACAGTTCTCATCTTACCTTTTCTCTACCTTTGTGTCTGTCTGTCTCTTTTACATCCACGGATCACTCTTCTGTTCCCCCTCTCGACTTTTTGTCGCTTTGATGTTCCTACTCCCCTCTGTGAAGCCCGAAGTCAACTAAAGGACAAATGATAATTCTCAGGGGTGTGCGATAGACTTACCTCCACGTGGTGCACCCTGGGCAACGTATACTCATACGACAAAAAAGTCTATTGATCGGCAGTTGGCTTCTCACTTCAAACTACCATCACCCCACCGCATTTCATATTTGACTCCTTCGTCAGTACTCACCTCACCTTTTTTCTACCTTTGTGTCTGTCTGTCTCTTTTACGTCTGTGAATTATTATTCTGTCCCCCTTTCGACTTTTTGCCATTTTGATGTTCCTCTTCCTTTATGTGAAGCTCTAGCTGTGAGGTCGCATATCTAGGGGCGTGCGTGAAAATTCAATGATTGGTAATCCAGAACACGAGCGAACAGGCCTTTATGTGCCCGGTTCCTTAATAACATACTTCTCAAGAAATGAATAGGAGTCATTTAGTCAACTCGAGGATAGTGAATAACCGCAATAGAAACTGAATGTTGATGTGACTAATTTTATAATGATAGTTTTACAATAAACATGGTCATTTGAGGGCATAGTGCTATTCACACAATGCTTTCTTTACTTTTATAAATTTGTTAAATAGGTCAACCAGAATCTCCACGATAGGAGATATCCGCACCGGGGCGTAAGTACCTGTTAAAACCCTTCTACTTGTGGTTACGTTTGTGGCTTCAAAGTTCCTGCATTTTATTATCCCTTCTTCCACCGGATTGACAAACTATAACTGTCATGTGTGCAGTACTTTAACCACAATTCTTCTTTGCTCTTTTTAACTTAATGTTAATTTATTTATATCAAATGGCAGGTGTTTTAATAGTTATCATTAGCCCTTTTGTTGACTTCGGACTTCACAGAGGGGAAGGAACATCAAAATGAAAAAATTCGAGAGTGGGGGGGGGCAGAAGAGTGTTTCACATATGTAAAAGAGACAGACATAAAGGTAGAAAAAGGGTGAGGTGAGTACAGTGAAAGTAGTCGAATATGGCATAGAGTGAGGTGATGGTAGTTTGAAGTCAGAAGTCAACTGCCGGTTAATAGACTTTTTTACGTATGAGTTTACGTTGTCCAGGTTG